TACCAATTTGAAAAGGATCCATTAATTTCTACTCTTTCTGTTTCCTCTCTGCCAACCAGTTTTCTATCTATCTCAATACACTGTGTTTGACCTATATCCCTCTAAACCTTTCCTATCCATGTACCTGTCCGAAAGACTTTCAAATCTTATAATTATATCTGCTTCTACCACTCCCTCTGGCAGCACATTCCATACATGCACCGCCCTCTGTGTGAAAAAATTGCCCCGAGGTCCCTTTTAAATCTTTCCCCTCTCACCTTAAACCTATGTCTTCAATTTTTGGACTCCCCTACCCTGGGGAAATGATCTTGACTATTCACCTTATCTCTATGCCCCGCATGATTTTATAAAGCACTATAAGGTCATCGTTCCAGTCTCTCCTTATACTCAAAATCTCCAGTCTTGGTAACATCTTTTTAAATCTTTTTGCACCCTTTCCAGTTGAGTATCATTCTTCCTGTAGCAGGGTGACCAAAATTGTACATAGTACTCCAAATGTGGCCATACTAATGTCTTGTATAGCTGTAAAAGATTTCCCATCTCACATACTCAATCCTCTGTCAAATGCTGCCTTCACCACCCTGTGTGACGCCATTTTTGAGCAGATATGTACCTGCACCCCTAGGTGTATCTGTTTGACAGCACCCAGGGTCCTTCCATTAACTGTGTAAGTAATGCCTTGGTTGTCTTACCAAAATGCAACACATTTTAATTAAAATTCCATCTGCCATTCCTCGGTCCTCTAGCCCAGTTGATCAAGATCCTGTTGTACTCTTTGATGACCTTCTCTGTCTACTAAAACACCTATCCACAAACTTTCTAACCATGTCTTCTATATTCTCATCTAAATTGTTTATATAAATGACAAGCAACAGTGGACCCAGCACCAATCCTTGCAGCACACTGCTAGTCCACAGGCCTCCGGTCTAAAAGAAACAACTCTGTACCACCACCCTCTATTGCCAAGCTAATTGAGTAGCTGTTCCTGGATCCCATGTGATCTAACCTGACTAACTGGTCTACAATGTAAGACCTTGTTGAAGGCCTTACTAAAGTCCATTTAGATAACATCTACCAGTCTGCCCTCATCTATTGGGGTAGCACAGTGGCTCAGTGATTAGCATGCTGCCTTACAACGCCAGGGACCCGGGTTCAATTCCAGCCTTAGGTGACTCTCTGCGTGGAGTTTGTGCATTCTCCCTATGTCTGTGTGGGTTTCCTCTGTGTGCTCTGGTTTCCTCCCACAGTCCAAAGATACGTATGTAAGGTGGATTGGCTGTGTTAAATTACCCGTCATGTCCAGGGATGTGTAGGCTAGGTGGATTAGCCATGGGAGGTGCAGGGTTGCAGGGATAGGGTGGGATACTCTTCAGAGGGTCAGTGTGGACTTGTTGAGCCAAATGGCCTGTTTCTACACAGTAGGGATTGTATTAAGGGAAAATAAATTCTTGGTCACCTCTTCAAAAAAGTCAATCAAATTTGTGAGACATGAATTCCCACACACAAAGCCATGCTAATCAGCCCTTGCCTTTCCAAATGCATGTAGATCCTGTCTCTCAGAATCTTCTCCAACAACTAACCCACCACTGATGTTAGGCTCACCAGTCTGGCTTTCCCTGGTTTCTCCTTACAGCCTTTCTTAAATATTGGCACAACATGTCAACCCTTTAATGATGTCCATTCAACAGTTTGATAACAGTCAGAAAGAAGCTGTTCCTGAATACATGCACAAGCAGGTTCAAGCTTCTGTATCTACTGCCTGACAGAAGAGGTTGTAGGATCATTACCATGGTGCGATGGGTCTTTGATGTTGACCGTCTTTCTGCAGCAGCGAGCTGTGTAAATGGAGTCCATGGGTGGAAGGTCGGCTTCCGTCTGGGCTGTGCACACCACCTTCTGTAGTTTCTTACAGTCCTGGGCAGAGCAGTTGCCATAGCAGGCCATTATGCACCTGGACATGCTTTCAGTAGTGCACCTGTAGAAGTTGGTGAGGGACATTATGGACATGCCACACTTCCTGAGCTACCTGAGGTCGAAGAGGCATTGTTGTACCTTCTTGATTGTCGCATTTCTGTGTGAAGTCTCTGACAGGTCGTCGGTTATTGTCACTCCGAGAAACTTGATGCTGTTCACTCTCTCCATCTCAGTTCCATTGATGTAGATGGAGGCGTGTTCTCCTTTCTTTCTGAAGTCAATGATCAATTCTTTAGTTTTGTTGACATTGAGAGACATTGTTTTCATTGCACCATGTCAGCAAGCCCTCTATCTCCCTTCTGTATTTTGACTCATCATTGTTTACTTGACTTAACTTCTATCTTCTCCTCAACCACTCCACATGCTGATCTACTGTTCTGGTTCCCACCCCCTGCCACACTAATTTAAACTCCCCTGAATGGCACTAGCAAACCTCCCTGCCAGGATATTGGTGTCCCTCCAGTTTAGGTGCAACCTGTCCTCCTTGTACAGGAAGAGATCCCAGTGACCAAGATATCTGAATTTCTCCCTCCTACGCCAGCACTTTAGTCACACATTCAACTGTATTATCTTCCTATTTCTGGCCTCGCTAGCAAATGGCACAGAGAATTATCCTGAGATTACAACACTGGACGTCTGCTTTTCAGCTTTCTACCTAGCTCTCTAAATTCCCTTTACAGGACTCATCTCTCATCCTGCCTATGTCATCATTGGTATTATGGACCATAACCTCTGGCTGCTAACCCTCCCTTTTCAGAATATCCTGTGCCTGCTCAGAGATATCCTTGACCCCAGCACCAAGGGAAGCAACACATCATCCTGGAGTTTTGTTCATGGCCACAGAAATGCCCATCTGTGCCCCTGACTATAGAGTCCCCTATCACTACTGCTCACCTGCGCTTTGACACACCCTGCTGTACAACAAAGCTAATCATGGTCCCACTATCTGGCTGCTGCTTTCCCCTGAGAGGCCGTCGCCCAAGCAGTATTGAAAGCAGTATACTTGTTTGACAGGGGAATAGCCACAGGGGACTCCTGCATTGCTTGCCTGCCCCTCCTGACATTCACCCATCTTTTTGGAGGAAGCTTTGGTGTGACCACATCTCTGAAACTCCTATCTATAAAACTTTACGCCTCCTGTATCCTCAGTGAGTCCAACTGCGGCTCCAACTGATCCATACGGTCTGAGAGGAGCTGCAGGACACACTTCATGCTGACAGATGTCAGCAATATTTGACTTCTTCCTTATCTCCCACATCTTGCAGGTAGAGCAGACCACTGCACTAACTGCCATTTCCACCCGCTTTGAGTAACTGTTGGATTAAAAGTAAAGTCCTTACCTTGCCGTAACTTCATTGTGCTCATCCTCCTCGGTGAAGCCCAATGTTCACCAAGCTCACACTTCGGCATCAACAGCAGCACTTCACCCTCACTGCTGAAGGACTACTAAGGCTCTACTGTTTCCAAGCCACAACAAACTTTTTGAACAGCACTTTTTTTGGTTCGAGGAGGAGGGAGTAAGGGAGAGAAATTCTACGGTAATGTAATGTTTGGGGCTTCATCACTCTTTACACCAGGTCCTCTGCGATCCCCTTCTAAGTGGTGAGAAAGCTGACGTCTTCCAAAATCCTCCTCAATTGCTTTTCACTACCACCCTCTATCCCTGATTACAACTACGTTTCTCTTTTCTCCCCACTCTAATGTCTCTCTGGACTATGGGGCTATAGTCAGTTTGCTCATCGTCCCTTCAGCCTGGGCTCTTGTCCTTTTGAGTTTAAAAGCATTGAATGAGTTTTACTCTGTCTAATGCATGCCGTTCTTGTCCTGGGAGTGTTTGATGGAGACATTGTCAAGGAAGCTTTAATCTATTTCCAACACTCCTGTGGATGGAGTTTTCCTCTGCATGGTGCTATTTATGGGCTTGTTCCTCTCTAGTGATTGATGTGTTTGGTGTCACATGGTATGAAATGAGCAGTAAATGAGCATAATACCATAAGATGATAGGAGCTGAAACAGGCCGTTCAACCCGTTATGGTACTGTGCCATTCAGTGAGATCATGGCTGATTTGATAATCATTAACTTCACTTACCTACCTTTTTCTATAACCTTTGATTCCCTTCTTGGATAAGATCTGTCTTTCTCAATCTTAAAAACCCAGCTTTGACAGCCTTCTGGAATAAATAATTCCACTAATTCACTGCCCTGTGAAAACAGAAACCTTCCTCATCTGTCTTAAATCTGTGACCCCTTATTCTGAAATTATTTCTTCTAGCCCCAGACTCTCCCATAAGGGGAAAACTGTATTTCTGCACCCACCCTGTCAAGTGCCCAAAGAATCTTGTGTATTTCAGTCAAGTCACCTTGCATTCTTCTTAATTCCAACAAATACCATATTTACGTATTTACGTTAAGAATTGATCAGCCTACCTATAATTTTCTGATACATGCAGCTGTTTAGACCATAGGTCTTGAAATCCCTACAGTATGGAAACAGGCCCTTTGGCCCAACAAGTCTACACTGACCCTCAGAGTATCCCACCCAGACCCATCTCCCTATAACCCACCTAATCTACACATCCCTGAACATTAGGGGCAATTTAACATGGCCAATCCACCTAGCCTGCACATCTTTGGACTGTGGGAGGAAACCAAACCACCTGGAGGAAACCCACACAGACACAAGGAGAATGTGCAAATTCCACACAGACAGTTGCCTGAGGGTGGAATTGAACCAGTGTTCCTGGCGCTGTGAGGCATCAGTGCTAGCCACTGAGCCACTGTGCACCCCAGCTCCCCTACCGCCACCCCCCCCACTCCACTGAGCCACTGTTTTGTAAGTGGGATGAGGTTGTAGTGGTTAGGGGTCAGGAATCAGGGTCACACCCTCTCTGTCCCCACCCCGGCTGCTAAGGTCCCTGCCGGCAACTCTGCCCCATTCTGGTTGCACACAATCTGATGAATTCTTGATATATTTTTACTAGATTTGTGCTACACATGCTGAATTCAGAATATTTGTTTTATACAGTCAGAGCCTGGAGTTGTGGGTAAGGCTGTTTCAGTCGCAATTGATTCTGGATACCGGCATATTGATGGAGCTTACTCCTACATGAATGAAGCAGAGGTAGGAGCTGCTGTGAAAAAGAAGATTGCTGAAGGAGTGGTTACAAGAGAAAATCTCTTCATAGTCAGTAAAGTAAGTATTGGTAAGTATGGATGTCACTTGATTGTCATCTGCAGAATGATAAAAGCCAGTGTTATGGATGATGTTTCCCCAGTATTATGAACATTGTGAGAAGCCAGCTCATGTATATAGATTGGGACTTCTCAGTCATGAGGTGCATCATGAGTGAGCACTTCCAATTAAATTGGCATTGACCTACTATGGTAACAATGACATTTAAATTATAGTAGTGCAATATTGATAGTGCTTCAGGTCACTTTTTTTAAATTCTTCCATGGCATATGGGTGTTGCTGGCAGGGTCATAGGTGAATATGCAAATCAGGAGCAGGCTATTAGCTCCTTGAGAACCTGCTCAGCTATTCAGTAAGATGATAGCTAATCTGATTGTAACCTCAAATCCACATTCTCAGCTACTTCTAATTACCTTTCACCCCAATACCTCCAGCTGAACAAGAATCCATCTACCTCTGCCTTAAAAATATTCAAGGATTCTGCTTCCACCACCATTTCAAAAAGGGAGATCCAAAGACATTTGGTCCTCAGAAAAAGAACATTTGTCTTGTCTCTGTTTCAAATTACTGAAGCATGATGTTTTTAAACAGTGAACCTTGTTCTAGATTCTTTCATAAGAGGAGACACCCTCTCCACATCTACCCTGTTAAGACCCCCCAGAATTATATATGTATTAATCAAGATACCTCTTACTCAAGTTACCATCAGTTCTGAAGAAAGGTCACTTGGCCCGAAATGTTAACTCTGATGTCCCGACACAGATGCTGCCAGACCTGAGTTTTTGCAGCAATTTGTTTTTGTTTTTGTTTTTGTTTACCTCTTTCTCCTCTTTACTCCTGTGGGTACAAGCTTAGCCTGTCCACTCTATCTCAGAAGACATCTGCCCATTTCTGATATTAGTCTGATAAAGCTTCTCTGAATTGCCTTCAACCCATTTACATCCTTCCTTAAATAAAGTGACCAATAAGGTTCGCAATACTCCAGATATGGTCTCACCAGTCCCCTCTATAACAGAAGCATGACTTCCTTTATGTTCTGTCTCATTGGAGTAGGATGCTGGAAATCAAACCCTGTTATTCCTGGATCATCAAAGATTTTTTTAAAATACACAAAATTCCCTAATTTAGTTATATATTAGACTCACTTTTATAGAAAGCCTGACCAAGGTTCTGTACATAACAGGCATTACTATTTATTTTGAATACATAGATTCTAATGATGAACAGTCAACATATTCTCCTAGTTAATACTGTAACCCCCTTATACAACTCAACCCTAGACAGACATGCACACAGAAACAGAAAAATGGGTATTATGGTAGAGGGAAAGACTGAGAAGGCAATTCAGTGGCTCCTGTCCACAAGTTTCATTGAGATGATCCTTTTAGCATGTCAGGTCCTGCTGCTTCTTGATCTTTCACTTGTTTGCAGGAGGCACAAGGTGACTGATTCACAAATTATGAAGCCTCTGACTGATTACTTAACAGCTACAGCTCACTGAAACTCATGAGAGAAAATAAACTGCTTTTGTTCAAGTCTGAGGTTTTTTTCTTTGCAGAGAAAGGATGACACCTTCCTTTTCAGAGGTCTGATAGCTTCTGTTGAAACATTTACACCCTCAAGCTGTTTAGCTCCCTTGGAGCCAATAGCACAATTGTTGGCAGACAGAAGACCTTTGTTATTGACAACTGAACACCATTCCACAGACCAATCAGCAACTTGTTGGTTGAACCTCCTTTTGTACACACTCCCTGGCTTCTGTTCATGTATAGTAACCTCTCCATTGCTTCAACAAAGATTATTATAAGCATCATTTTAAATGATCTTCAGGAACTTGCTTTTAAAAATGCAGTAATCCTTTCCACAATCCTTGGTTTTTAAAGCAGCCCCATTTCAGTCCACAATCAAAAATACAGAAGAATAAAACAATATAGTCCTTACATTTTGTATTCAGTTCTCCTCGCAATAAATGATAACATTTTATTAGTTTTCCTGATTATTGCTGTTCCTGCATACAATTTTTGCAATTTATGCACTGGGACCACAGATCTGTCTGAATGTCACAGCTCTGCAACCTCACATCATTTGATAACGTATTAATGTAATCATTTTTATTCTTCTTACTAAAATGGCCAATTTCATATCCTCCCAGATTAAACTCCATTTGCTGCATTTTTGCCCACTAACCTTTCAATAATTTCTTGTAACCAGCTTTTGTCCTTATCGTAACTTACATACCTTTCTATCTTTGTGTCGTCAACAAATCTGTCAACAATATTTCCTACCCTATAATCTAAATCAGTTATATAAATTGCAGTTGAAGTATCAGCACTGGTCCCTGTGATGCACTATTCGTTTTATCTTGTCAACCTGAAAAAAAACCTATTCATACTTATTCTGTGCTTCCTGTTAGCCATCCAACCTTCTATCCATACCAAATGCTACCCCCTACATCATGAGCTGTTATTTTCAATAATATCCTTTGTGTCACCTTTTCAAATTCCTTGAAATCCAAATAAGCTTGCATTTACTGAATTATTGACGATCCTTACCTTACACTTGAACCGATTGGTTTTGTGAGCCATTTCAGAGGGCAGTTAAGAGTCAAGCTGTGGGTCTGTAGTCACTTGCAATCAGACTATTTAAGGATGACCGATTTCTTTCCCTAAAATATATTAATGAACCAGATGGATTTTTTTATAACAATTGGACACGAGTTATGTGTTCTCTCTTAAAAATCGATAGTCTAATTCCAAATATTAAATTCAAATTTTCGCCAAAAGCCATGGTGAGATTCAAACCCCTCTCCCAGACATCATGCCACCACCTCTCCACTTTTTGTTCTGTGCCATTGAAATGGACATCTGTAAAGGGACTGTAATTTCCCCTCCTCTGTAATTAAGGATCCCCTCAACTGCATGTCCTCCATTTCCCACACTTCTGCCCTCAAACCCCCTAACAGCAATAAGGATAGAGTCTTCTTAGTCCTTACATACCACTTCGCCAACCTCCAAATCTAACACATCTTCCTCTAACATTTTTGCCACCTACAATCAGACCCCATCACCAAAAGATATTTCCTTCCCCACTCCTGTCTGCTTTCCACAGGGACTGTTCATTCTGTGACTCCCTCGTCAACTACACACTCCCCACCAATTCCTCCATCACACCCGGTACATTTACCTGCAGCGGCAAGAGGTGTAACACCTGCCCCACACCTCCCTCTCAACTTCGTTCAAGGCCCAAAACAATCCTTCCAGATCCAACCTGTGTAGCTTCCAATGTAGTCTCCTCCATTACAGGGTAAACAAATGCAGACTTGGGGACTGGTTCATGGAGCATCTGCGCTCTGCACACAACCACTAACCCAACCTTCCAGTTGCCATCTGTTTTAGAACAAAGAACAAAGAAAATTACAGCACAGGAACAGGCCCTTCGGCCCTCCAAGCCTGCGCCAATCCAGATCCTCTATCTAAGCCTGTCGCCTATTTTCCAAGGATCTGTATCCCTCTGCTCCCTGCCCATTCATGTATCTGTCTAGATACATCTTAAATGACGCTATCGTGCCCACCTCTACCACCTCTGCTGGCAACGCGTTCCAGGCACCCACCACCCTCTGCGTAGAGAACTTTCCACGCATATCTCCTTTAAACTTTTCCCTGTCACCTTGAAATCGTGACGCCCTAGTAATTGAGTCCCCCACTCTGGGGAAAAAGCTTCTTGCTATCCACCCTGTCTATACCTCTCATGATTTTGTAGACCTCAAGCAGGTCCCCCCTCAACCTCCGTCTTTCTAATGTAAATAATCGTAATCTACTCAACCTCTCTTCATAGCTAGCGCCCTCCATACCAGGCAACATCCTGGTGAACCTCCTCTGCACCCTCTCCAAAGCATCCACATCCTTTTGGTAATGTGGCGACCAGAACTATACGCAATATTCCAAATGTGGTCGAACCAAAGTCCTATACAACTGTAACATGACCTGCCAACTCTTGTACTCAATACCCCGTCCGATGAATGAAAGCATGCCGTATGCCTTCTTGACCACTCTGTCGACCTGAGTTGCCACCTTCAGGGTACAATGGACCTGAACACCCAGATCTCTCTGTGCATCAATTTTCCCCGGGGCTTTTCCATTTACCGTATAGTTTGCTCTTGAATTGGATCTTCCAAAATGCATCACCTCGCATTTTCCTGGATTGAACTCCATCTGCCATTTCTCCACCCAACTCTCCAATCTATCTATATTCTGCTGCATTCTCCGACAGTCTCCTTCATTATTTGCTACTCCACCAATCTTAGTGTCGTTCCCCCTTCCACTCCCCTGATGCCATGTCCATCCTCGGCTTCCTCCACTGTCGGAGTGAGGCCAAATATAAACTGGAGGAACAACACCTGATATTTCGCCTTGGAAGCTTACAGCCCAATGGCCTCAATATTGACTTCACCAGCTTCAAAATCCCTCCATCACCTGCCTTATCTCATGTCCAGCCCTCCCCCTCCTGACCTGACCTAACCTAACCTGTCCATCTTTCAACTCACCTACAGTAACCCCCTACCTGCATCAACCTATCACCATCTCTCTTACCCTCCCTTCAGCCCTACCCCCCTCTCTTTATTTATTTCTGGGCTCCCCTCCCCGTTCCCAGTCCTGACAAAGGGTTTCAGCCCGAAATGTTGACTTGCCTGCTCGGATGTTGTCTGAATGGCTGTGCTTTTCCAACCTCACGCCTATAGAATCTGTAAAGGAATAACTGTGTTTGCTTTTGCATAGGAAGTTCAAAGGTAAACTGAACATTTAATTGGTCTGCTTTTAAAAGGGCCACGTTTTAAAAATTCATAAATTTTATTTCAGAGATTTTACATTTTAACAAATTCTTTCCTAGCTTTCTCATAAGTTTTTCTATGTCAAGATCCAGATGTTTCATACACTGTGCTCTGTCTTCCAGCTGTGGTGTACATTCCATGCTCTGGAGGATGTTAAACCAAGTCTGATGAAAAGTTTATCTGCCTTGCAGCTTACTTACCTAGACCTGTACCTCATCCACTTCCCTGTGGGATTCCAGGCATGTTTTTCTTTTTTAACCTGTGTTATCTTAACCTTTTCACGTCATTCTCAAAACAGGATATTGCATTAATTGTTTTTGCATGATAGCCAAAGTGGTAAATATTAAAGCAGAAGCTTGATCTTTATATGATTTAAACTTTATTTACAGAGCCATGCATTATAAAATATGGACCTGCAAACCCAATGAATCTTATATAGAGGATATAGGATCCATCTCATGCACAAATGACAGCAAAGTAGCGGCGCAGCTTCCAAGCTTTTATCCAGGGCTTGTCTGCTTCCTTCTGCTTGCTTTGTTTCTTTTTTTTTTCATATTTTCTTTTGCTATTTTCTTTACTCTTCTTTTTTCTCTCTTTGGAGACCTTTTCAGCAGGGTGCGAGCAGGCCCAGCCTCCAGAGCATGTGGTGTAGCAGTGGCAGGAGTTGGCTCATCGGAGAGTGGGCCGGGCAGAGCGAGCCCTCAAAGAGCTTGTGTTGGCAGCAGTTGTGGGCACAGTGGTGAGGAATGGTGCCAGAGTATGGCGACCTCCTTGATGGTCCCAGCGCAGGACTTGAGACTATGGCAGGGTGGCATCTGCGGTCAGTGTCAGTCAGCTGCGGCAAAGTGGTAGGCCCACTTCGGTAGTCCTGGCGGATTGACGGGTGTAGCGGTTGCTTCAGCACGTGGTAGGCCCGGTGTGCTGCTCCTGACAACATGGTGGTGGTGGCCCCAAAACAGGGCCTGGAATGGACTGTGTGGGGAAAGTGTGCCAAAGCAAAGGAGATCAAGCCCTTCTAGGAAGTGCAGTACCAGCATGGCTAAGCATCTTAGAAAGACTGTAATGCTTACACTTCTGCCTTTTGTTTCTTTATTTTTCTACTTAACACTAGGAAGGTCTGTAATGTGTAACCTTTAACTTTGTTCTTCATTTCTTTCTACCTTGTTCTTAAGATTTCGTACCTAAGATGGTGCTGTGTATGGCAACATTGTACACTGTACTTCTGTACTTTTCTACTTGTCTACATGTGACAATAAAGTCTAAATCTAAATCTTGGAGCACTGTTGAACCTTCACTTAATACCTATTGTCTGAATGGATGCTGGACCCACAGCTGGAATTCTATGAACAGTCTTGGGGCCCCTCATCTAAGGAATGATATATTGGCATTGAATTGAATTAGCTTTATTATCCCATATACTCAATAAATACCATAAAAAGTTTATACGTCACCACTCACAGTGCCATCTTAGGTACAAAGGTACCTAGGTACAGTTTTTTTTTAATTACAAGATCTTAGAAAATAGAGAAATAAAATGTCCAGCATTGCAGAAATAAAGTCCAGAACAGCAGTCTTCCTATCCATACCACGCTGGCACCTAGCCTCTAGTCAGTACCGGGCCCTGGCTCCAGGCCACATCAGACTTCACTCAAGGTTCATGAGGCTGGGAGATCAGTCCAGACCGCCACGCTGGGCCAAGAGGGCATCTCGTCGGAGGCAAAGAGTCGATGCTGGAAGCAGTCCTAAGGAGATTCACTTCGCTGAAATGACTACCAGAAATTGCTGGAGAAACTCCAAGTCTGACAGCATCTGTGAAGAGAAAGCACAGTCAACGTTCTGGATCCAGTTCCCTTTCATCAGAACTGTCAGTAGGCTGATACCAGGAATTGGGGGGCTGTCTTATGAGGCAACGTTGAGTAGCTTGGGCCTCTACTTTTTGGAATATAAAGAATGAGAGGTGACCTTATTGAAATAGACAAGGTTTGTAGAAGACTTAATAGGGTTGAAACAGAAAGGTTGTTTCCCTTGGAGAGTCTAAGACCAGAGGATGTAATCTCGCAGTAAGGAGTTGCCCTGTTAAGACAGAGATGAAGAAACATTTCTTTCTATGAGGGGAGTGAATTTGTGGAATTCTTTACTGCAAATGGCTGAAAAGGCTTGGATGCTAAGTGTATTCAAGGCTGAGATAAATAGTTTTTTTAAATCAGTAAGGATGTTGAGGGTTATGGTGAAAACGCAGAAAATTGGAATTGAATAGCTCCCTGTACCACAATGCTATGGTCAGTTTGCTGAACCTCCCTACAGCCCCCAGTCTCATCCACACAGGGAGCAAGAATCCCAAATCTGTTAGATAAGCTTAACGGCTAAGTCACCTTCAGCACTATCTCCTGGATTCATCTACCTGTCTCGCTGGTAGTCACACCCTGCTATCTCAGACTACTGAAACACAACATCCAGGTAACTCTTTCCCTTGCTGATGTCATACAATGTTTGAAGCTCAGACCCTAGCTCATCTCCATTCCTCAAGCAACCAACACTTGCTATAGATATGGTCACTATGAATCACAATGGGATCCACCAGCTCCCATATCATGCAGTTACAGCACATCGCCTAGCCCAGCATCTCTATTTTAATTACTTGGTTCTTGATTTGAATTTTTAAAAAACCTTTTCGTGGTCTTTTAGCTTGTAGCCTGTAATTATTTCCCATATTTACCTTCAGTTTGAAAGTGACCTATAAGAGTCAAATTAGTAGCTATCACGACCTATGAATTTATGGATTTACCTGTGATGTCACTCTTTTGTTCTGAGCCCTTAATCCTGGGCTTCAGTTTATCTTGGGCTATGTCTCACAGATCTCTCTTTCCTGATCGTGTGACTCTCACCTATGTGGCATCTTATCAAATGTCTTTTGGAAATCTGTATAAATACATATGCTGGTTTCTCTTTACCAACAGCATTAATTGCTTCTTCAAAGAACCTTAATAAATTAGTTATTATTTGAAAAGTTCTATAAATTGTTGTCATTGCACCTAACATATTATGATCATTGTGTACAAGTTGATAATTATCCTGTTTCTCACTTTGTTTTCACTGATGCATTTCTAAAATATTCTACTTTTAATGTTGTTTTAATGTTCTTATCTGTCCATAGTCCAGTTCTTAATTATTTTTATTTTCTGATTTTCAATGTTTTTGTCTATTTTGTTGACTCCTTTCAAAATTTATTAACATCTAATAGCTGTATCCACGGACTAGAGCATTTAGTATTGGATACTTTTTAATAAAGCATATTCTGTATTTCTGTACTCCTTGATTTTTAAAAAAGAAATTGCACTGTTCATCTACGTTTCCATGTTACAATATTTCATTCCATCTCACTGGTTTTGCATATATCCCAGAACCCTCGTTGTAATGCTGTGACAAACCTTATCCTATGATATGTACCTTCCTGCTTCAGTGTAACACTCTGAATTATCCATGTTATGTGCATCAAATTATTTCCTCTTTAACAGAAAGTGCCGGGTGAACTGTTTCCAGTGCAAGAAGGCAAGGTGCTAGTGACTGATATTGACTACGTGGACACATGGAGGGTGAGTCTCAAGTGGAAAGTGATTGTAGATCAATTTTTTCATAAAGAAATGGAAAGAAAAGTGAAGTGCCAGGAATAAGATTCTGTGAATTGTGTGGACTCCTAATTCCTTGACATTACCATCATACTCAAAATGTGCAGGATGTCAGAAGTGAAGTGCACAGCTGTCCTGCATTTCTGGCCAAGGTTAGGAACAATGGTGGCTGGGCTAGGTCTCTCAAAATATTAGGCTTGATATGTCTGAAATATCATCTTGTGTATCCTTCTCTTTTTAATGCAATAAAAATTATAGTAATTGTGATTGAAACTTCTAGCTTTGTGCTCACAAACAGGTGATAAAAATCTATTCTCCAGTCCATGGGAGTAGAGTGATAGTTTCTTTGTGTGTGTAGAAGTGTGCATCAGTTATTTTGGGAAAAGAAAAGCTTTTGTTGCTAACTTGAGCCTGTTGTTCTCTTGTGCCAATTTAAAAACTGTAACATTTATGAAATTTACACTTCCCTGTGTGCTGTGCTTTTAAATTTAATGGAGAAATTGTGATGTTGATGAATTCTTCCAATTCTGTTTCTGTGAGAGTCCAAATATCTGTAGTAACACATAGGGCTCCTGAGGTGCATTTGAAATATGCTATCTTCCCACTCTACCATATATATGTTTTATATCCCAGAGCAATTTCTGATCCATAGTTGTGTCTTTGATTTTTGGAGATAAAGACATTTTTTTGTTAACCAAAGTGTCTTAACTGCATTATAGTTTCATCTTTCTATCAGGCTGTGGGAATTTGTTAAAGATATTTCTGGCTGATGGCTTATCTATTTGTTACTGTATTTGTACACAATCTTTCAACATGCATTGTCAAAAAATAAGTACTGCATTAGCAAATGGTGTGATAAGCAATTCTGCAGCTCCCTCTTTAGCTCAGTTAGCTGGACGATTGTTTGCATCACTCTACATCTCAAACCAATGTGGGTTCAATTCCTGCAGTTACCATGAAGGAATTTCTTTCTCAACTTCTCCCCTCACCTGAGGTGTGGTGATCCTCAGGTTAAACTACCACCAGTTATCTCTTTCTAATGAAAGATCAGTCCTGTAGTCTGGTAAGGCTATGGTGACTTTACCTTTAACCAACCTGCTAAAATGGTATGTGTGTCCTGCTAAAATGGTATATGCCTTTATTGTAACTAGTATGCTGCCATGTTAAAAGGTTTCAATCTATGTCACAGTAAAGCACAGATGATAGTGTGACAAAGTGCTTTTCTTTCTTTCATTCACATCACTGGTTCAGCCAGCATTTATTGCCCATGCCTAATTGCCCAAAGGACAGTTTAAAGTCAACCATGTCGCTGTGAGTCTGGAGTCACATGTGGACCAGTCCAGGTGAGGATGGCAGTGTCTTCCCTAAAGAACATTAATGAGTCAGATAGGGTTTTCTAACAATTGATAATGGACTCATGGATCATCATTAAACTGTTAACTCCAGATATTTTATAATGGCTTGGAAAAATCAGAGGAATGTGAAGTATGTAAGAATTAAACATTTTTTATCTAGTGAATAGCTTGATGCTGCAGAGTTAATTTGTGTCTTTACCCCTTGTTCACAGTTGAACCTTTTTGTTAGTCAGTTTCCTGGCATGTTTGTCAACGTAGTCTTTTAAACCAAAGTGTTCAGGGAAATAAACTTCAAATCAGCAGAATAAAACAAAGCCTTCCAGCTCGAGTGCTAATTAGTTGCAATTATGTACTGGCCTTCTTGGCCTAGCAAGCCATTCAGTTGTATCAACCACTTAAAAGTCTCAAAGAAGGAATTAAACTAGACAGACAGCTTGGCATTAACCTGGGTATTGGGAAATGACAACAACCCTGTCAACCCTGCAAAGTCCTTATGATATAAACCGTAACTTTTTTAACCGAAATTATTTTAAGCTTAACACTTTGAGTTTTGTGTGTCTGAAGTTAATAATGAACTTGTAATGGTGATAGTTTCTGAGAACCAATTTAGCAGGACTAAAGGTTTTTATTGTTTGCCTTGATGTTTTATGACTTATCAAAGTAAATCATCATGCTTTAATGTCTGTTAGAAGCTTAGTTTTTTTTTTAAGGTTCAGGGAAACACCCATAGCTTCTTTTAGTTTTACTATTTTTTTTGGCTAGTTATGCAAATATCCCCATCTTCAATGATGGAAGAGCTCAGCACATTGGTCCAAAAGATTTTGCAACAGTCTTCATTAGAAGATTGTAGTACAGCCACAACTCTGGCATCTACCCAACAATGTGAAAAATTGTCCAGGTGTATACACAATGCATGGCAAATCTAACCTGGCTGATAACTGCCCTGCTCTCAATTGTCAGTAAAGTGATGGAAGATGTCATCAACAGTGCTATCAAGCAGCACCTGCTTATGCTCAGTTTGGATTCTGCTTGGGCTACTCTGTTCCTGACTTCATTACAGCCTTGGTTCAAACATAAATAATAGTGCAGGTCAGTGGCTAGGAATCCTGCAGTGAGTGACTCGCCCCCTGACTCTCCAAAGCCTGTCCACTATTCAAAGCTGCCTATAGAGATAACAAGGTGTAGAGCTGGATGAACACAGCAGGCGAAGCAGCATCAGAGGAGCAGGAAGGCTGACGTTTCAGGCCTAGACCCTTCTTCAGACCCTTTTTCTGAAGAAGGGTCTAGGCCCAAAACGTCAGCCTTCCTGCCCCTCTGATGCTGCTTGGCCTGCTGTGTTCATCCAGTTCTACACCTTGTTATCTCAGATTCTCCAGCATCTGCAGTCCCTACTATCTCTGATTCAAAGCTGCCTGTTAAGATTGTGATGGAATACTCACCACCAGCCTGGATGAGTGCACTTCCAAATATATTCAAGAAGCTTGACACCATCCAGGACAAACAATGTACTTGAATGGCACCCCATCCACCACCGTCAACATTCACTCCCTCTGCCACTGATGCACACGGCATCAGTGTGTACCAGCTACAAGCTGCACTGCAATAACTCACCAAGGCTCCTCCAATAGCACCTCCCAATTCTCAACCCCTCCCATGTAGAATGGTGAGGGCAGCAGATAGATCGGAACACCACCACCTGCACGTTCCTCTCCAAACTACTGTCCACCCTGACTTGCAAATATACCACTGGTCCTTCAGTGTCACTGGGTCAAAATCCTGCAACTCTCCCTCTAGGGGAGTTGTGGATCAGCCTACAGCAAATGGACTGCCGTGGTTCAAGAAGCTCACCACCAACTTCTCTTAAGGTAACTAGGATAGGTAATAAATGCTGTAATAAATCCTAGCCAGCAATGCCAAAGTTCCATGAGGAAAAAAAAATACAAGTGTCATGTAGACTGCTGTTTGAACATGCAGTAATTGAAGGGATTACAGGCAATTTGGAGACAAGGGATTTTGCGTACAGATGGAGCTGTTTGGCAACAAGAAATAAGTTGGTGTATGGACTAATTCTAGTTATCCCGCCAACAGCTGTGTGATAGATTCTCGGGTAACTGATCAGTTTGGGGCTGGTAACATGATAAAGGGAAGAATTTTGATCTTCACCTGTTCAGGACCTGTCCCTGTTCTTTGCAGTAAAAATCCATTCTAAACCTGAAAAAAAAGGTCCTTCTGTCCTTTAGTTGTGGTGTAGTAAGCCAGAGTCATTTATAAGCCACAAACCACCTTGTGTCTGTTGCAAACAAGTGGAAACTTCCAAAGAAAGATGACTGAAGGGCAAATTCTGGCCAGCATGAGAATCATAAGAATAATCTCGGCAATCTATTTTACTAAGACCTTATTTGTGTGTGTGTGTGTATAGAATAGATTAGAGTTTTAATTTAGTTAATTAACTGTTTACCTGTAGCCAGAGTCTAATTATCTGTAATGTATAGTGATTCTTGTTCATACAGAAACCTGATTTATGTTTCCTATCAACCTTGGTCTGAAAATCAGTAATTTGGGGTATTTTGTGCACTTATTGTAAGATCTTTAACTTTAGTGACAATTCTGGAATTAGCAAGGCTTGATTTATATCTACCTACACCAGTGAGTCATGACATAAATAGGGTAGGGTACACATTCCCTTTTCTGTAGGATAAAGTAGAGTTTGCAGCGCCTTCCTGCTAAACAAAATGCACATTACTTGTTCCATGGAGTATGGCATACATTTTGATCAGTGGTTCTAGATTGTTCAATAATCATGATGTATAGAAATATTCTTTTCTTTTTGCCAACAGGCTATGGAAGGTTTGGTGGATGAAGGGCTGGTGAAATCGATTGGTGTTTCCAATTTTAATATTTCCCAGTTGAAAAGACTCCTGTCAATAGCTCGTATAACTCCGGCAGTAAACCAGGTATTTATGCTCATTATTGGAATGAAACATTGGGTAAGAATAATGTTCTAGCATAGACACATGATCCACCTCATTCCCCAACATCAGGTCCAGCAGTGCCTCAGTCCTAGTTGGACTGAGAATACAGAACAAGTGACCTTTCCTGAATGCATTGCAAGAATTCTTTCACCCAACTTTTATCCTTTATTCTAACTTGTTGAATGATAATTGGGTAATTAAAGATATAGTCCTTGAACATCTTTCCCTACAGATTTGTTCCTCTCATTCACAGTTTGCAGAGTTACAGAATACTCACATCCATTTTGCTTCTCAACCCTTATCAAAGGGATTTCATCTTTATCTCCTCGACATCCTCTCTTTCTAACCACAAAAATGTATTCATTAATATTGCCCATCTACTTCTCTTTTCTCCTCTATCTTTTCTGAAAACTGCTTGATTTTTTTTTTATTTCTTTAATTCTTTTGTATGGTTTGGATGCTACTAGTAAGGCCAACAATTGTTCAGCCCTAGTTGCTGTTGAACCGAGTGTCCCACTGGGCCATTTTAGAGGGCACTTAAAGGTCACCCACATTGCAGTAAGTCTGGAGTCACTTGTAGAACAGACTAGGTAAAGACAGCAGATTTCCCTCCCTAAAGAACATTAGTGAGCCAGGTGGGTTATTATTGTAATTTCATGGACACCATCACTGATGCCAGCTTTGAATTCCATATTTAATTAATTGAATTTAGTTCTGAGGAAGAGTCACCGGACCTGAAACGTTAACTCTGTTTTTCTCTTCACAGATGCTGCCAGACCCGCTGAGCTTTTCCAGCAACTTTGTTTTTGTTCCTGATTTACAGCATGTCCAATTCTTTCAGTTTTTAATTGAATTTAAATCCCACTATCTACCCTGGTCAATCTTGAAGAGAACAGCAAAGAACAATCTAATGTTGAACTTCTGAAATGAAAGATTCAGGGTAATGTGACAATAAGTAATCTATAACAGATGATGACTCAGGTATAAGGTTAGCACATTCCAAAAGGAAAATAGAGGAACTGTAACTAAGGCTCTTTGAATGATGAGGTATGGAAATTGAATTAAATGAAATGGAAGAGAGGAATAATACATCTCTAGTGAATTCATCAATCAAGAACCAGAAAACATAAAACTGAGAGGTCAAGTGAAGAAGAAAATATTGCCGAAGAGTAATATGGGAATAGAGTAGCATTTAACATAAAAGGGAACCAGAAATCTTTCTAATGCCATCAAGATGGGGTGCAGCTTATTAGGGTCAAAGGGCAAAATGAAAATAATTAATGACTATGTTGTATCTGTGTTTATTCAAGAAGAGGAATCTGACAAAGTATCTGTAGAAAAGAAGATGAGTGAAAATTGATAGGATAGCTGTACTGGAAAGATTGCATATGCTTAGAGTGGGCAGGTGGCCTGGTCTGGCTGGTTTGTATCCAGGTTGCTCAAGGAAGTGGGAGTAGGGGTCTTCAAAGTATATCCACCATCTACAAGGCACAAGTCAGGACTGTGATAGAATACTCCCCACTTACCTGGATGGGTGCAGTTTTAACAACATTCAAAGCCTGACATTGCCGAGGACACCACATATACAAGCATCCATTCAGTCCATCACTAGCATTCAGTACCAATAGTGTGTACCATCTGTAAGATGCACTGCACAAATTCACCAATGGTCCTTAAACGGCACCTTTCAAACCCTCAATCAGATACATGGGAACACTGCCAACCACAAGTTTCCTTCCAAGCCACTCACCATCCTGACTTGGAAATGTCTCGTCGTTCCTTTGATGTTGCTAGGTCAAAATTCTGGATCTGTAATTGTACTGTGGCTCAAGAACTGCATGAACTTCAACAGTTCAAGGCTGCAGCTCACCACCATCTTCTCAAGAGCAACTAGGGACAAGCAATAAACGTTGGCCAGCCAGTGACACCCAAATTCCACAAATGAAAGAGATCTGGGTGTTCAGGTCCATTGTACCCTGAAGGTGGCAACGCAGGTCGATAGAGTGGTCAAGAAGGCATACGGCATGCTTTCATTCATCGAACAGGATATTGAGTACAAGACTTGGCAGGTCATGTTACAGTTATATAGGACTTTTGTTCGACCACATTTGGAATACTGCGTGCAGTTCTGGTCGCCACATTACCAAAAGGATGTGAATGCTTTGGAGAGGGTGCAGAGGAGGTTCACCAGGATGTTGCCTGGTATGGAGGGCACTAGCTATGAAGAGAGATTGAGTAGATTAGGATTATTTACATTAGAAAGACGGAGGTTGGGGGGGAACCTGATTGAGGTCTACAAAATCATAAGATGTATAGACAGGGTGGATAGCAAGAAGCTTTTTCCCAGAGTGGGGGACTCAATTACTAGGGGTCACGATTTCAAGGTGAGAGGGCAAAAGTTTAAGGGAGATATGCATGGAAAGTTCTTTACGCAGAGGGTGGTGGGTGCCTGGAACATGTTGCCAGCGGAGGTGGTAGAGGTGCGCACAATAGCTTCATTTAAGATGTATCTAGACAGATACATGAATGAGCAGGGAGCAGAGGGATACAGATCCTTGGAAAATAGGTGACAGGTTTAGATATAGGATCTGGATCGGCACAGGCTTGGAGGGCTGAAGGGCCTGTTCCTGTGCTGTAATTTTCTTTGTTCTTTGTTCTTTGAAATAAAAAAGCGCCAAATGATAGCCTAACTAATGACACCAACATCCTGTGCATTTTAAAATATTTTGCTTCCATACATCAATTCCAATAACTTGTTTTAGCATTCCTTTCTTATGTAATTATTCTATCCACATTTGCTTTACCTAAATGCTAAGATATGTATACCTTTGTATATGGTTATGCTTGGGTGAATCTTCCAGTATATGTGTGTTTGTGTTATACTTTTATATGGGTGCATTGTCAGCATGTTGTGACTGGAAGCAGAAAGTCACAAAGGACATAGAATTTAATACCCCCTTGCTAGTAGCCCATTTCCCGTTGAGCCAAGTGAGCCTTTTAAGTGGGTAATTACATCCCACTGTGTTTCATCTCACCGCCAGCCACCAGCATTTAACCTGCACTTGCATTGTATACGAACATATTAATTAGGAGCAGAAATAGACCATTTGGTTGCTGAATCTGCTTTGCCATTCACTAAGATTATGACTAATCTGTTTGTATTTCAAGTTCCATGCTCCTGTCTATCCCCAATAATCTTAGATTTTTGTTAGGCAGGAGAATCTATCTACTTCCCTCTTGAGAAAACTTTAATGACCCCACTTCTAGTGCTTTCCGAGGTAGAGAATTCCAAAGTCTTACAACCTTCAGAGAAAGAAAATTCTTCTCAGTTCTGGGTGGAACAGTAACTCAGTGGTTATCACTGCTGCCTCACAGTGCCAGGTTCAAGCCTAGCCTCAGGCAACTGTCAGTATGGAGTTTGCATTCTGTCCATGTCAGCATTGGTTTCCTCCAGGTGATCCAGGGATGTGCAGGCTAGGTGCATTAGCCATGGGAAATGCAGGATTACTGGGGCTTGGGTCTGGGAGGTGTGCTCATTTTTTGTGTCAGTGCAGACTTAATCAGCCGAATGGCCAGCATCCACATTGTAAGGATTCTGTGAATAGGTCAAAGAGTATGGAAAGGGTCAGGAATCTAACTTCTTCCACAGTAGTTATGGGGACAACTAAGGGTGTTGTACTTAAAGGAATGCAGTATACGAAACAATGTAGGTGAGCTTGTAGCATCGATTAAAATTGCAGGCATGACATTGTGGGTATCACAGATGTGGCTGCAAGGATACACGTCCTATCGCAAGGGCAGGCAGATGGGCGAAGGGTGTGGGGTTGCCTTTTGTTAATGGGAAATGAAATTAAGTCGATAGTAAGAGTGATACAGAGTCAGAAGATGTAGAAGGGTAGATTTGAGGAACCGCAAAGGGAAAAAGATCCTTATGGGAGTTGCGTACAAGCCTCCTAGCAGTAGTCGGAATGTGGGGAAGAAAATAAACCAGGAGATGGAAAAGGCGTACCAAAAAAGGCACTATTACAGTAATCATGGGGGTCTTCAACATGAAGGTGGACCTGGAATACAAGTTTGGTAGCAGATCTCAAGAAGAAGGATTTGTACGAGATGTGGTTTCTTTTCCTTGAAGAGGTAGAGCCCGTTACTTGTAACCCCCTACCTGCATCCACTTATCACCATGCCACCTACCCTCCCCGCAGCTCCACCTCCCTCTCTCCCTCCATTTATTTCTGGGTTTCCCTTCCCCTCCTCGGTCCTGATTAAGGGTTTTGACCCAAAACGTTGACTTTTCTGCTACTCGGATGCTGTCTGACCTGCTGTGCTTTTCCAGCTCCAGATTTATTGATTCTAGCTTCCAGTATCTGCACTCTTTACTGTCTCGTACTGTCTCCTTACATTTTAGCAACAGCATAGGTAGAAGAAGGGATTAGATCCTGCAGAGTGAATATAGGGAGTTAGGCAGGAGGTTAAAAAGCAGGACTGCAAGGGTAGTAATCTCTGGATTACTCCCAGTGCCATGTGTTAGTGAGAGTAGGAATAGAAGGATAGAGTAGATGAACGCATGTCTGAGGAGCTTGTGCAGGGGATAGGATTCAGATTTTTGCATCGTTGGGATATCTTCTGGGGTAGAAGTGACCTGCAAGAAAGGAATGGGTTGCACCTGAACTGGACGGGGTCCGATATCCTGGTGGGAAGATTTGCTCAAGCTACTTGGGAGGGTTTAAAGTAGTCTGGCAGAGGGTGAGCCTCCAAGCAGTCATGAGACGGAAGAGTAGGTTGAGGCTGATTCAGAAGTTAAAGAGAGCAAGTTAAATGGACAAGGCAGGTAAGAGCACAGCAGAGAACGAGGGAAGACTGATGAATTAAACTGTATTTATTTCAATGCAAGAGGCCGAAGAGGTAGGCATGATGGTAACATGGGATAAGGATATATCATAGCTATTACAGAAACACGGCTGAAGGAGGGACAGGACTGGCAG